CGTTGCACCAGCCTGTCCCTGGGCAGTCGGGAGATAAAAGGACTCGGTCCCAGGGCTGTTTACTCTTGCCACCGCTAATGTGGACTCAGGGCTGGGGCCAAGTGGGCACAAGCCCCAGAAACTCACTCTTGCCCCTTTCTCGTGGCCCAGGGCAGTGGCATGGAGCCGACCAACAGCCCGCTGACGACACACGTGCTGGACACCGCCTCGGGGCTCCCAGCCCAGGGCCTCTGCCTCCATTTGTACTGGTTTGAGGACCATGGCCAGCAGTGGACTGAGCTAAAAACGAGGTAGGAGAGAGGCCCTGGGGCAGGGTGGGGCTCCAGAAATCCAGAGCACCTGTGCCCACCCAAGGCCCTTCCTGAGTCCTGCCCCAGACAGATCCCAGACAACCAAGGAGGGAGGCACTGAGGCTGAAGGGCAGGGCTGACTGCTGCCAACCGTCCCTTCAGCTCCACATCTGTCCCCACCCACAACTGACTGAGCCTCTGTTTCCTGAGGGATGACAAGAGTGGCTGTTTCTTCAGGTGTATGCAGTCCTGTGACAGCATGAGATGCTGTCACTTCCTCCAGCCTCACACCCCTGTGAGCCTGCTTGAGGTGGGAGTGGGCTTCTGCCTCTCCTTGAGGCCATGCCCAGAAGGGCTGGGTTAGGTAAGGCAAATGGAATTCTGCAGGTGGAATGCAAGCGACCTCACGGTCACCACGATTAACATGGCAGACAGCACATGGGCACAGGAATGACCCCTTTTACAGATGGGAAGACTGAGGCAGCAAGTGCCAGGATTCCAACCAAGACCTCTCAGGCACTTAACGTGGGCCTAGCCCACTGCCCCAGACATAGGCTTTGCTGGAGGGGCCACTTCCAGGGGAGAATGTCACCCACCAAGGTATTGTGGCCAGTGGGTGAGCATGTATGTTCCTGTACCTTCCATCTTGAAGGCAGCAGGCACCCTATAGAGTGATCTCCTTCCTTTCAGCTGGGGTGGGAGGTGCTGGGCCCCAAAGGGTCAGGGTCGGAGGGTACAGCTCCCTCTTTAATCAGCCCTTCAGGAAAGCTGTGGCTCAAGGAGGCAAGGTCTGACCTGAGCAGTCAGGATAGTGCTGTGTGGACCAGGTGTCCTGTGAAGGGTCATATAGACCCTTCCCCAGCACCTCACGCACACTCTGCTCTTTCTAATCACAGTAGAAACATGCACCTTAAAAGCAGAAGAATTCGAAGCTTTTCTGGAGGTGACTGTGAGCAAAGCCACAGCCTTCAGAACCCCACAAGGGCTCAGTTCACTCAGCATGGATGCTCTGTGCAGTTGGAAACAGGCCACCACATTTGTGAGGGCTTGGTACAGTTACTGACCCCAAAAACCACATACATAATACATTAAGTGAAAAACACAAGTTATAAAACAGTACAAATAGTATAATTCATTTGAGCATTTTTTTTTAAGTTTGTAAGTATACTTATGCATAGAAAAATTGAAAAAGTGTACATCAAATATAAAGTGGCTACTGCTCATAGGGAAGACGCTGGGAGATGCTTCCCCTTCTGCTTCTCTGTATTATGTCCCTGAGCTGCTCCAGAACTGCGGGCCCTAAAAACTGCCACACTGTGTGTCTACTCATCCAATTCTATCAGATTGTGCGGGTTTATGTGAGGCCCACCAAGAGTGCAGACCCCAGAGACCACGGGGGGGGGGGACTCATCCCCATATCTGCAGCCCTGTCTTTTTCCCAGCTACACAGACCCAGACGGCCGCTGCCCCGGGCTCCTGGCACCAGGTCAGATGAAGGCAGGCACCTATAAGCTCTCCTTCGACACTGAAGGCTACTGGAGGAAGAGAGGGCAGGAAAGCTTCTACCCATATGTGGAGGTAAGGGCTACCGTGGGGCTGGAGGGGTGGAGGCCCAGGACTCATCTGGGCAGTGGGCAGCCTAGTCCTGCCCCACCCACCTCCTCCAGGGTGGTGGCAGGTAGGTGAGCTCACCTGCTTTGAGCTCCCAGAAGAAAGATTTGCAGGCGTTAGGCTTGATGCCATCTCTGACTGCCCGAGTCAGGTTTTGTGGGAAGGCTGGCTGAGGGTGACTCACCACCCTTTGTAGATAGGTTTTCATTTAAGCTCAGACTCCAGCTCGCTGAGCTGAACCTTACTGACCCTGCTCACCAGGCCTACCATCACAGCACAGCACCTGACCACACTTGGGCTGTGGGTGTGCTGGAAGGCCCAGATGAGGAGGGTTCCAGTCCTCCACCCTGGGGGTACTTCCGCGCCTCCCTGGTTTCCAGCTCCCTGGTTTCCGCGCCTCCCTGGTTTCCTGGGAGAGGGCTGCTGAATTCTCCCAGGAGCATTGGGGCCAGGCTGCTCAAGTGCCATGGGTCCTTCACTCTTTCCCGTGCCTTCTCTGTACCTCTCAGGTTGTTTTCACCATCACAAATGAGACCCAGAAGTTCCATGTGCCCTTGCTGCTGAGTCCCTGGTCCTACACCACCTACCGAGGGAGCTAGAGCCGAGTCTGGTGAGGGCCCATCTGCCCCTTCCCTCCCTCTGGCTGAACTTACCCTCTGTTGGGGAACAACAGCGGGACTTCCTGCTCATTGTGGGGCACCCACTTCCTGGGGAGGTTCTGGCCTTCCTGGAGTTTCCCAGTGGGCAGCTGTGACTCAGGTTTCAATAAAGTCAGTGCCAGCACCATCAAAGCCACTCCATTCACTGGGAAGAGAGTGAGAGGCAGGCAGAGCACCACTGGCATGCCCCGGCCCCAGGGCAGCGAGCGGCCCTCAGGGAAGGTGCTGTCCCATAGTGGGAGGCAGGACTTGGGGGGAGCAGGTGAAGGCACAGGCTGGATATGCACCCAGGGAAGGTCACAGATGGGGACATTGCAGTGAAGGCCCTGCAGGTGGTTCTCCGGAGCCAGGCAAGAGATAGCAAGGACATGGGGGAAAGCCTTCATTTGTTGATGATAAAACATAAAAAAAAGAACTTGCTGTGTGTGAAAGGGGGTGTCATCCAGTGAGTGGTCCCAGGCTGGTGTGGCCCATGGCCCACAGCAGGGTGGCTATGTTGGGGTGCCCACGAGTCCTGCGGGGCCCTGGCCCAGTATCTGCCCAATCACAGCGGTCTCCAGGGGCTTGAAGCCCACATTGTCCAGAGGGATCCCGAAGGCCAGCAGCTTTGCCTCATACGTGCGCAGCAGGTCGTTGTGGGCCTGTGGGGATGGAGCAGCATCAGGGGAAGAGAAAGGGTCCACCCGGGCCTGGCCATGTGGCTGACACACTCAGGCCAACCCAGGGCTAAGTTCAGCTCCATGGAGGGGCAGACAGTGCAGGCAGGGTGGACACCATAGTGTGAAAGGATAAAGCCAATGTCTATCAGTTGTTTACTGTGGTAGACCCAGCACCAAGCACCTTAGCTCTGGACACCCATAATGGGGAGATGCCATTATTATTCCTACTTCCCATGGGGAGACTGAGACAGAGGCTAGGGATGCAGAGCAGAACGTGGTCTGAGTGGGCTCTGGCTCCTGGCCAGATGTTTCTCATTCAGGTTCTTCACACCCTCCCTGCCCTTGTTAAATGGCATCTATTCTCTGCCCTGGTGGGCACAGCACCCTCTGACTCCCTGAAAACTCTGCATCTTCAGGGACACCCCCTACCCATCTCAGGAGAGACATGACCTGAGCAACAGTTGTGCCCCAGACCACATGGCAAGCCCATGTACCCTCAGCTGTGCCTGTACTCTCACATGGGGAGCGATGCCTGCCTTGCCAGACAAGGTATAAAGTGGGAATAGATGGTGTCCTCTGAGACCAGGCGCTGAGGGGTGGCTGAGGGAGGGGCTTGGGGCACATCCTACCTTGCAGACCCGGGCCAGCTCATACTGCAGGTCCTTAATGGTATTGTTCTTTGATTCCAGGACATCCTGAGGAGAGAGAGGCAAGTGTTAGTTTGAGACCCGTCTTTTGTCTGAGGCAGACAGGGGTGGTGGTCTGGGGGCTCCAGAAGGGTCCTCAGAAGTCCAAAGAATGACAGCCTCATTTGATCAAGGTGCATATCCACACAGGTGTGTCTACAGGAAAAGGTCTCTAAAGGTCGAGAGAAAATAGCAAAAGAAAGGGAGAAGCAAGAGCCACCCTTGTACCTGTACTTCATTAAAGAAACACTCTCGACCCACAGGAAAAGACGACAAGACTGGAGGGGTGGGTAACACACACATCGCACCACGGAGACTGGTCACTAAACACCATTCATATATTATCTAAGTTTTTCAAACCATGTGAATGGATTATCCCACTTTTTTTTTTTTTGGAGTAAGAGTCTCACTCTGTCACCCAGGCTGGAGTGCAGTGGCATGCTCACAGCCACCACAGCTTCAACCTGCTGGGCTCAGGCGATCCTTCCGCCTCAACCTTCCAAGTAGCCAAAATACAGGCACGCCCTACCATGCCTGGCTTATTTATTTATTCGCTTATTGTAGAGATGAGGTCTTACCAAATTGCCCAGGCTGGTCTCAAACCTCTGAGCGCAGGCAATCCTCTTGCCTTGGCCTCCCAAAGTGCTGGGATTATGGGTTTGAGCCACCGCGCCTGGTCCATTCCACTTTTTTAGTGGGGGGAAAAAAATCTGTGTAACTTAAAACTTCACCAGTGTTGGCCCCACCCAGATGTCATGGGCATGGGTCTCCCTACACAGCCAGGCTGCTGGGCCTCCCACCTGAGGAGCATTACTGGCCCCGGCCTGGCACCAGAGCCCCCTGCTGCCCACTGATCGTGGTCCAAGCCCTCACCTGCCCAGTTTGTGAAGAGCGCCCCTGCAGAGCCTTCCCTCACTTCCCTGGAAGGTTCCTCTCCCCTAAGTCAGGATGACAACAACACAGAAGGGCAGGGGCTGACCCACATTTAGTGCCATCTGCCCCCAGCATGTGGGCGCTGCTACAGTGAACTTCATGGGCTAGGACTGCTTTTTATCACCTCACCACAGTCACGTGGCAGCCAAGGGCCTGGTCCAGCTCTGAGCCAGCTCCCTTCACCTTCCAACAGCAGACCTCCCTTCCTCACCTGTCTGTGCTCAGGAGGACCAGCCCAGCCCTGGGGACAGGAGCCCCGGGATGAACAAAGATGAGCCTCCAATCCCAGGGCCACCGTGCCACTGGCCCAGACAAGCCCCACCCATGTGGTACCACCACCTCAGAGCCAGCCTATCCAGTGTGCCAGAGGCTCCAAAGGTACCGCCACCCACTGGGCCAGAACTCACTGCTCCCCATGAGGGCTCCCAGGGGCAAACATCTAGTCTCCTCAGCCAGAGAACCAAAGGCACACCTTCACCTCAGCCCTTCCCAGCCCTTTCCTCAATCAGCGATAAGTCTTGTCAACTCGGCCTCCTGACGGTTCTCAAACCCTCTGCTCCTCTCCGTCCTACACTAGCCCCTGTCTGTCCCCTCCAGCCCTGTGTTCCCCATCTACAGCAAAGTGGGCTCTCTCTGGTCCAGTTCTTCCTGCCTAGAACTGTCCATGGTTCCCAGCTAACCCTAAACTCATAAGCATGGCTGATAGGTCTTTCAAAATCATCCCTCAGCCTCAGCCCTGCATCTCCCAACACCTGGGTGCCCCCAGGACAGGGCAGCGAGGGGCTCACTATGTCCAGTGCTGCAGGACTTGGCTGGAGGACAGGCGGACAAGGGTGGGTGAACGGGCAGAGGAACAAGCCAGGGTGGAGTGTTTCAAACAGAGATGAGGCATTTTGAACAAAGTGAATCCTTGGCCTGGAGTCAGTGGTGAGCAGAAGCATTTGTGTTCAACTGAACCTTAAAAAATGCTGCTTGTGGCCAGGCCCAGTAGCTCATGCCTATAAGGCTTTGGAAGGCGGAGGCAGGAGGATTGCTTGAGCCCAGGAGTTTAAGGCCTAGGCAACATAGTGAGACCTTGTATCTACAAAAAATAAAAACAATTAGCCAGACATGGTGACATGTGCCTGTAATCCCAGCTACTTGGGACACTGAGGCAGATCACTTGAGCCCAGGAGGAAGAGGCTGCTGTGAGCCATGAGCATACCACTGCATTTCAGTCTGCATAACAGAGTGAGACCCCAACCCCCCCCCCAAAAAAATGCTGTTTGTGATACTTCTCAGGATACAAAACACTTCCATAGACAGCGAGGAAGCCTCAAGTCTGGGGCCCAGACATCTGTTTTGCTGAAGGACAGTCCAGCACAAATAGCAGAGACAGACAGGTGCTCCATGGCCCTGCAGGACTCTATTGCTAGGACAAGCCAGCCTCCCTTCGCCTGTTGGTAGGGGCTTCGCAACCAGCTGTTTTGAGTTCAGGGGCAGCAGCGTTTATCTCCAGGGAGCCACAGGCCTGGCAGCTACTGGTTATCCCAGCTGGCTGGGATTACTGTGCCAGCCAAAGACCTCTTTGTGCTGTGTCCTCTTTGTCCTGTGACTCCCCCAGCCAGGTGCAGGGAGCACAGAAGCTGGACACAGGTAAGAGACCACCTATGAGGTTCTGTCAGAGGCGTCAGTATCCTGATACTTCCGCTGATCCTGCATCTTCTGTCTCCCAGTGGGCTGTGGGGCTGAGACCTCGTCTGCTTTATTTACTGCTGTTCCGCCCACACAGACAGTCCTAGCAGAGCAGCACCTTAAGTAACTGTGGACAATGGTCTGGACTCTGCTCAGACCTCACACCCCCTCACACCCACAAAGGCTGGTAAGGGACCCAGACTCACACAACTCTACACTCTCCCCATCGCAACTGTCCATGTCCTAAACCAGCACATCTGGAGGTCTTCAAGTGCTGTCTCTGTCCCAGCACAGCAGTGTTACACGAGGCTGAAAGCCCAGAAAATGTAACCGTCCCCAAGCTTGTGTCGGGTCTGTCATCCCAACTTTGAGGAGCTCAGGCCCAACACAGTCTACTCCCAAGTCTATTCTCATGCTGAGATGACACTACTGGAGCCTGATGTGCTCAATGAATCAGGTCTGAAATGGGTAGAGGCTCAGAGGTTAGTAGGAGCCATGAGGTTACGGAGGGACTGGGCAAGACCCAAGAGAGATTTGTGCAAAACTGATGAGAGGAAACTACTGGTGCAGAAGACCAAGAGGTATGCCTGCCTGCAACACTTTCCCCCAGCTCTGCTCTCAGGCTATGGGGAACCATGACTGCCCCCCTCCCATGCTTAATCAAGGGAGCATAGTGCAGAGCCAAAGGGTTCCACCACAGGAACGAGGATGCCCACTGAGGGCAGGAGCCTGTCCAGGGCCTACCTCGAGCTTGCGGGACACCAGTGTCAGGGCTGCGGGGTCCAGGTTTGAGGCTGCCAGCACCTCGTTGAACTGCACTTCCTTCTTCTCCACGGCGTTGCTCAGTGCCTGTAGCTTGCGCTCCAGCACCAGGTTCTTGAAGCCCGTCTTCTGCTGCACCTCTTGGATGGCCGCAGTGAACTTCTGGTAGAGCTCATCCCGCTCCTGCTGCACCTGCAGGGATGACTCTGGGTAAGCAATGAGGCCCTTAACTGGGGACATCTCACAGCAGAGAAGGAGCCTCCCATCTGGGCCCCTGCCTGGAACATGCTGCTTCTATATAAGGGTGACGTTCCACTAATGCCCACACTCAACAGGCATGTGGGGCTATATGTTGTTCACACTGCCTGTACCCATGAGCACACAGACTATGTGTGTTGTCCACACTACCCACACTCATGAGCATATAGGGTCTGTGTGTTGTCTACATTGCTCACGCCCATGAGCACATGAGGCCTGTGTGTCATCCACGTTGCCTGCACCCACAAGCATGTGGGGCCTATATGTTGTCCACACTGCCTGCGCCCATGAGCATGGGGGGTCTGTGTATCATCCATGCTGTCTGCACCCATGAGCATGTAGGACCTGTCATCCACACTGCCCGCACCCATGAACACATGGGGCCTGTATGTCATCCACATTGCCTGAGCCCATGATCACGTGGGGCGTGTTGTCCACACTGCCTGCACACATGATCACATGGGGCCTGTGTGTCATCCACGCTGTCTGCACCCGTGAGCATGGATGGGGTCTGTCATCCATGCTGCTTACACCCATGAGGACATGGAGTCTGCGTGTTGTCCACGCTGCCTGTACCTGTGAGCACGTGCAGTCTGTGTGCCATCCATACTGCCTGTGCCTGAGAGCACATGGGATCTGTCGTCCATACTGCCTACACCTATCAGCACATGGGGCCTGTGTGTCATCCATGCTGCCTGCACCCATGAGCATGTGGGGCCTGTGTGTCATCCATGCTGCCTGCACCTGTGAGCACGTGGGGTCTGTGTGTTGTCCACACTGACTAAACCTATGAGCATCACATCAGCAAAGATTTAATTTGGAAGGTCTGATGCAGGCCAGGAAGAAGTGTATATGACCCATAGGCTCCCAAACAGGGGTGCAATCAGAACAGCTCTCGGGAAAGACGCTCTCAGAACTGAACACAGACCCCTCAGACCCAGTAATTCAACTGTTAGAATTGGCTTTCCTAAAAAGCATTTCACACAGTTGCACAAAGATGAACTTAAAAGGATTGGGGCAGCAATGCTTATAATAGCAAAGGGCTGGAAAGAGAAAGGAGCCAGCTAAATAAATGATGGAACATTCACGTGATGGAGTACCACGTGGCTATTGAAGGGAAGAGGCCGCTTTATATGTGTGACCAAATACACTGAAATTAAAAGATAAGTTGCACTTATAGTGTGATCCCATTTTTGTGAGCACGAAGTCATATCCACAGCAGACCATGCAGGAGGAAGTATGGAAGGAAATCCACCTCGTGTGAGGACCAGCACTGAGCAGCAGGGAGACTCACCTTTACTTATACACCTGAGGACCTCATGGCCTTTTGTTTTTTTTGAGTCGGAGTCATTCTATCACCCAGGCTGGAGTGCAGTGGCACACTCACGGCCACCGCAGCATCTACCTCCTGGACTCAGGCGATTCTTCCGCCTCAACCACAGGTGTGTGCTACCACTCCTGGCTAATATTTTAATTTATTGTAGAGACGAGGTCTTGCCAAGTTGCCCAAGCCGATCTCGAATCCCTGGGCTCAGGCAATCCTCTCACCTCAGCCTCCCAAAGTGCTGGGATTACAAGTGCAAACCACTGCACCCAGCTCAATGACCTCTTTACAATGAATATGTAATAGGTTAGTACATAGAAACATACACATATAGATGAAAAGGTAGCTACTGCAAGGGGCCAGGCCACCTCCACATGTTTTGAGAAATGAGTTCCTGAGGAGACAGAAGTATGTGTGGTCCACTATCCACAAGACCTCAGGCCTTCAACAAAACATGTCAATGGTTTTGCCTCATAAAAGCTATGTGGAATGAGAAGTGGGGAACAGGACCTCCAGCTTCTGAACCTAAAAACCTAGCTGGGTCTCAACACCTCCTGAAGCTGTTCACAGGCCGAGGCCACAAGGAGAGCCCATCTCTGGCTGCAAGGCCAGCGTGGTGCTCACTCACCTTGATGAACTGCTGCTCCAGCACTTCATGCTCCCACCGCAGGTCTCTGAGCTCTTTCTCAGAGACTTTCAAACGTGCTTTTGTGCACTGGAGAGAAAACAGGGAGTGAGGATAGAAAGTATTCAGGATTCATAGGCATTCATGTAACATAGGCTCCTGGGAGCCGGCAAGGCCCAAAATAATGGCCAGGAAGATCTGGCTTGAAGAGCAAGCAGCCGAGCCCTACCAGGGCAGGCAAACAGGAGATGGTGAGAGATCAGGGCTTCATCTCTAGAGTGGACTGACTCCACTGGGGCCTCGGGCATCTCCCAGTGCTCCTCCCCTCCTGAGCTCAGGCCCACGTGTGCCAAGGAGGCAGATGAATCCAGCAGGAAACTCACAACTAGGATGTGCTTGTCTCGTTCATAGTTCCCGAGTTGCCTCTGCATCTCATTCATCTGGTCCCGAGCCTTCTGGAGAGGTTCTGCCAGGCGCTTGTTCTGCATGGACACTTCTGCCATCTCCTTCTCCAGGTGATCTTCCTTCTTCCGCATGTCCTCCATCTGCTCCTATAGGCACAAGTACAGGTGCGGAGGGGCTTGGCAGACAGAACCAAGGGGGTCGTGGCCTCCAGGGCAGCGGCTGGGTGCTCTCCCACCTGCAGACAGGTCCTACTGGCCAGATGCATGCTGGGGCCCAGGCCTGTTCTGTGTGTTCACTGTGAAACTCCTATCACAGCCAGCCTGTGGGGGATGATGACAGCTGTCTACTCCAGCCCCACGGCAGCCACATTATGGCACCTACTGAAGTTCTAACTGAGCTTTCAAAACAGATCAGAATACATTGTATATTATTACTTACTCCTCTGCAACAGTTATGGAAATATCCTGATTGTTTTTTCTTTTCTTTTCTTTTTTTTTTTTTTTGAGTCAGAGTCTCATTCTGTTGCCCAGGCTGGAGTGCAATGCATGCTCATGGCTACCACAGCCTTGACCTGTTGAGCTCAGGTGATCCTTCTGCCTCAGCCTTCCAAGTAGCCAGAACCACAGGCATGCACCACCATGCCTGGCTAATTTTTTTATTTTTATTGTAGAGACAAGGCCTCACCAAGTTGCCCAGACTAGTCTTGAACCCGTGGGCTCAGGCCATCCTTTAGCCTCAGTCTCCCAAAGTGCTGGGATTATAGGTGTGAGCCACCACTCCCGGCTGATTGTTTTCAATAAAGGGGTAGATAGGTTAAATTGTTGATGAATTTCAATAAAGGACAGCAAAGGGCACTGTCACATGTTCTTACAAAAGGGGTGCTGGGTCTGATAGGGTTGAGAGCTGGGGTCTGGATCCCCTGGGCTCTATGCCCCCACATTCTAGGACAGGAAAGGGTGTTTCCCCAGCTCGGCCCACATGCAGCACCTTGAGGGAGTTGATGAGGGCCAGGTTGTTGAGGGTGATATCATTGTAGTAGTTCTTGATGTCGGTGAAGGCCTCCTCATGACGCTGCATCAGCGTGTTGATCTGGCCGTTCTTTCTCTCTTCTACTTCATGGAGCTCAGTCTTTCTCTGCAGGTCGAGCTCGTCCCTCAGCATCTTCATCTTCTTATCATACTTGGCCTCAATTTCTGAAAGGCAGCAACAAACACAGCAGTTTAGCAGAGGAAGAAGAGGCACTTTTGGCTACAAGAATAGTTGGAGCGGTGGCTTAAGCCTGTAATCCCAGCACTTTGGGAAGCCAAGGCGAGAAGAATGCCTGAGCCCAGGGGTTCATCAAGACCAACCTGAACAACTTGGTGAGACCTCATCTCTACAATATCAAAAAATTAGTCAGGCATGGTAGCACATGCTTATAGTTCCAGAAGGATCACCTGAGCCCAGCAGGTCAACGCTGGGATGGCCTGAGTGAACCACTACACTCCAGTCTAGGTGACATAGTGAGATTCTGATTCAAAAAAAAAGAATAGATGGAACCCGTAAACAGGGCCCAAGAATACCAATCATGGTCAGAACAAAGGCTGTGCAAACAAGCTCTGCCAGAGAACAGGGTGGATTAGGAGGAGTGTTTTCTGCTGATGCTCCCAAATGCATATTCATCATGCCACTGTTGACCTGCCTTTGCCAGTGACAGGCATTGCTAATCAATTCCTGCACTGGGGCTCCCAAAAGCTGAATGTCAGCTAATTCCAGTGGGCACTAACTTTGGTCTGTGTGGTCATCCAGCCACAGACTACAGGACTTTATTAGTAAACCAGACAGACTTCTGAAACTGAAGGCTTCTCAGGCCAGGAGCCATGGAGAAGACTATTCTAAGAATGCTGCCCACAACACTGAATAACTACCACCTGCTGTTAACTACTGATTTTAGCCAGGAGTGGGAAAGTGTGTGGTAATCACAGCCTCCCAAACTCACATGGAAACAAGTTGTTCTGGGATTCTGAGTGGGTCCACTGGCTGTGGAAACATCCATGTTCTCTGCATGCTTGGCCTGTTTAATCTTGTTCATGTGCCCTGAGTTAATAAACTCTGGAGGTAAATCCTCCTCTGATAGGAGGGGTCTCTGGGGCTATCCTACACAATAAGCATGTGGGAAGCTGACCTCGAACTTGCCTCTCGAAGTCATTCCGCATCTTGGTGATCTCCTCGGTGTGTTTCTGCAAAGGTGGAAGGAGGCTGTTACCACATAGCCAGACACAAAAGGTTGACCCTGCTCTTCACCCCTGTGAAAAATGCAGCTCAGTAGACCGTGTGTTGCTGCTGATAGCTGCTGGGTTCCCCTCACCTCCAAATTTATGGAATAAGCCCAGAATAACATAGTTTTGGTAACCTCCACATTTCCTAACTCGCTTTCATCCACTAAAGTCAACTCAGAGCTTGACAGAACAGCCACAGATATTGTGAGCACTGAACATGGCATATCGGGTGGCAATGAGTGCCATAGAAAGAGCAAAGTGGGAAAAGTCGAGGACTCTTTTCTACAAGGGTCCTGGGAGGAGGAGGTAACCAGGCTGGGGGAAGGGATGGACCAGTGGGAAGACTCAGAGGAGCAAGCAACCCTCCCATAGACTAGAGTGCACAGCCATATCTACACATAACTGTGGGCTCTTCCCAGACACCAAATACAGCTCCTAACCTGCTTCACTGTTGCTTAAAGCAGCATTTTAAAATTATTTTAATAAAAAAGTCATTATAGTTAAAATTGTGAGTTAAAAAATGTAAATTAGCTTTACAGCAGTATTTTTACCCAATGGAGAACTCTGATCACATCACAAGACCATATCCAGGCCTCTGGATAAGCAGATCTCACATCACTGAATTCATCTGAAATCAGCCATCTGTGGTTCCCAGAAAAGACCAAACAATTTAGGAGGGCTCAAGACTTCAGTACCCTCATGCTTTGCCACCAAGTCTGCAATGTCACTGAGGTTCTTCCAGATTCAGTTACGGCTGGGCTGCTTCCAGGCATGAGGTAAATGTGTTGAGTCTCCTCAACCCAGTAGCCAGGAAAGACCTTTGAACTCAAGTCAGACACATCCCTCCACTGTCTAGATTCTCAGAGGGCACCCTGACTCACCCAGGGTCAAAGTCCCATCTTCACCATGACTTCTGGAGCACCTAGCTCCTGGTGTCATTACTCTGTGCTTTTCTGGACCTTCCCACTTGCCCATCCCTTCCCCCAGCCTGGTCACTTCCTCCTGCCAAAACTCTTATAGAAAAGCATCTCCTACCTTTCCCACTTGGCTCTTTCTATAGCACTCATCCCCACCTGATACACGTGTGTATCTGACACATCTGTCTTCTATCTCACCTGTGGTCTCTTCTTTCAACCCCTTCCAGGCAGGGGTTTTGTCAGAGGACAGATCAGGATCTGGCACCTAATGGGCACTCAGCAAATGAACTTCAGTCACCCCCAGAGCCCCAGCCTCCCTCTGAAAGGCTCAATCCCAGCCTCAAAAGTAAAAATGAGCCCAGATTGTGTGACAAACTGCCATGACTACCCAGGAGCTGGCACGCTGGACATTTCCATGGTTGGTTTGCATTCTTTCTAAATGCATCTACTGCCATTTCCCAGGAATACTATGTGAGTGTCAGGTGTTGGCAGAACATGGAGATGATCCTGAGCTGGACTGTACTTTGGGGAAGTCAATTTGTTGCTCAGATCTGAATTCTGCACTTGGCCCCAAAATCAGGTTTGTTTAGATGTATGCTTTTTTCCTTGTAACATATCAATTAATTGCAAAAATGTAGGAGGTTTTACACAAAAATATGAATTCCCAATTGCTGTTGAATATTCGGGAGTTCAGGCACATTTGGCTCGCTGTCCCTAGCAGTCCACCAACCCCCAGGTGCCTGCCCTCATACCTACCAGCCGAAGGTTCTTCACCACCACCTCACTGGCCAGTTCCTGCTCCTTGAGCTCCACTTTCAGTGCCCGCATGTCCTGGCGTAGCATGCTCTCCTGTGTACAGTGCTCCTTCTGCACCAGCTTCATGGCCACGGTGCCCTCAGCCTTCATTTCCGTCAGGTTATTCTGGTGCTCATACAGCAGGTGCTTCACCTTCTGCTTGTACACCTGCAGGGCAGGGGGAGCACCACCTGCTCACCTGCATGCACATACCTGTACATGCCTGTACACCCAAGGCACAGAGCAGGACACCAAGCTGGGAGGCACATCCCCAGCTCACATGGTATTAAGTAGCAGGGCTGGGTGGCAAAGAGACCAGCCTGCCCCCAGAGCCTGTGCTGCATTTCAAACTCTCAGGACCTGCAGAGTCTCTCTTCTGCCACTGGAGGGATGAAATGTCTCTCCCTCAGCCTCTTTTATTAAAAACACCTTCCTGGCCAGGCACAGTGGCTCACACCAATAATCCCAGCACTTTGGAAGGCCGAGGTGAGAGGACTGCCTGAGCCCACGGGTTCGAGACCAGCCTGGGCAACTTGGTGAGACCTCGTCTCTACAATAAATCAAAAAATTAGCCAGGCGTGGTAGCACATGCCTGTAGTTCCAGCTACTGGGAAGGCTGAGGCGGAAGGGTTACCTGAGCCCAGCAGGTCGAGGCTGTAGTGGCTGTGAATGTGCCACTGCACTGCAGCCTGGGCAACTTAGTGAGACCCCAACTCAAAAACAAAAAACAGTTTCCTATTCCAACATAAGGATACAAGGAGAAAATGGGCCATCCTTACCCCATGTATGGTCCAGCTCTGAGCTGTGTGGTGATCCGTTGGGTATAGGTGGGCCAGCCCACTCACCTTGATCTCCACCTGGTGCCTCTCCTCGGCCTCCTCCATCTCCCGGTCTTTGTTCCGCAGCTCAGCCTTCTTCTCCTCCAGCTGTCTCCGTGTGATCTCCCAGAAGGTGTGGATCTTGTCCCGCTCCAGCTGGAAGTAGTTGCGCTCCTCCCGCTCACGGTCCAGCTCCTCCCGGATACGGCCGACATGCTCCTCCACCTGGCCAGGCGCAGTAGGTCAAGTGAGGCCTTGAGTGGAGGGCCCACCACAGCAAGGGGTGTGTGGACAGAAAAAGGTAAGGAAGAAAGAGGGAGGGCCCACTCTCACCTAAAAATGAAGAAGAGCTAAAAGTATAAAATTAACATATGATATATGTCATTTCATCCATTCCTGGGAATTTATACTAAAGAAATTTCTCAAAAGAAACATAAGAGCTGGGCTCGGTGGCTCAGCCTGTAATCCCGCGCCTTTGGGAGGCTGAGGTGAGTGGATTGCCTGAGCCTGCGGGTTCGAGACCCGCCTGGGCAGCGAGACCTCATCTCTAAAATAAATTAAAAAAAAAAATCAGCCGGGCGTGGTAGCGCATGCCTGTAATTCCGGCTACTCGGAAGGCTGAGGCAGAAGGATCACCAGAGCCCAGCAGGTCAAGGCTGCGGTGGCCGGGAGCGGCCACTGCACACTCCAGTCTGGGCAACAGAGTGAGACTCCAACTCAAAAAAATAAAAAATTAAAATAAAAAAATAAAGATACAATGTTAAGCAAAAAATATACAAAACCAGTATATTTTCTAACACTTAAGAGGGTTGAATCACAAATCTGCAAATAGGTTTAAAAAAGAAGCACAGGCTGCCAGGGCTCCTGGAATCTCATTTCCCTTAAGAATCAGTTATCTTCTGGGCATAGCCCCAGGCCACTTACTGTAAAGTTCCCCATTTCCCAAAGGGAAACCAATTTCTCACTTCAAGAGAGGCAAGACAACAACCTAAGAGGGGCTGCAAGGGGGTCCGGTGATCCTTCCACCTCAGCCTTCCAAGCAGCTGGAACTACAGGCGCTCGCTACTACGCCCAGCTAATTTTTTGATTTATTGTAGAGATGAGGTCTCACCAAGTTGCCCAGGCGGGTCTCGAACCCTCAGGCTCAGGCAGTCCACTCACCTCAGCCTCCCAAAGGTGCGGGATTACAGGCTGAGCCACCGAGCCCGGCTTAGATTTCTTATAAATCCCTACATGTCTAGCTTCTTTTGAAAAATCAGAAAACAAACAGCACTGGAGTATACTGCTCAACAGGCAGCTACCAGTGAACCAACTAATCATTTTCCACAGTAGAGCACAAGTGTCCAAGTCACCCCGCCTTACCCTCCCGCCTGCACTCTGAAAGCTTCCAAGACTGTGCCTGAGTGGGCCATGTGCCCTGGTGAGGCTTTGCTTTGCCGACTGTACATGAATTATGACCACAGCATGCCAACATCTGTCTCCACAGCAATGGGAAGGTAACGGGGAACCCAGAAACAGCTCAAATGTTGGGACAATACGATATTCAATCCATTATCTACCCAGTGATCTTTCCAACACACAAACCAGATCCCACCACCCCTCTGTTTAACCACTGGCTGAAAATGTCAGCGGTTTTCCTGCATGTAAAATAAAGTCTTTTTTTAAACCATTGTTCAAGGGTTTCCATCCACCTCCAACTTCAGCTCATATGACTGACTCTTTTTAGTCTCCTTCATATGTATTTTTTATCTTAAAACTACCAAAAGAAAGTAAGATTTGTTAACAACACTCAAGTTGACACAGCACCCTCAGGTCCTGTGTTAGATGCTCCTGGAGCAGTTGCCGTCAGTGTGGAGGACAGAGATCCACTATGCTTGCCAGGAGGTGCTGTATCTAGGAGTCTTTTTTTTTTTTGGAGTCAAGAATCTCACTCTGCCACCCACACTGGAGTGAGTGACATACTCATGGCCACTGCAGCCTTGACCTGATTGGCTTAAGTGATCCTCCTGCTTCAGCCTTCCAAGTAGCTATAACTACAGGTGTGCACCACCATATCCAGCTATTTTTTTTAATTTGTTTATTGTAGAAACGAGGTCTCGCCAAGTTGCCCAGGCTGGTCTGGAACCCATGGGCTCAGGCAATCCTCTCACCTCAGTCTCCCAAAGTGCTGGGATTACAGGTGTGAGCTACCACAGATGACTCCTAAGGAGCTTTTTAAGTAAAATTTTACTTTTACTTATTTATTTAGAGTAGGAGTCTCACTCCGTCACCCAAGCTGGAGTGCAGTGGCATGCTCATGGCCACCTCAGCATTGACCCGCTGGGCTCTGGCGATCCTTCTGCCTCAGCCTTCCAAGTAGCCAGAACTACAGGCACATGCTACCACGCTCGGCTAATTTTTTATTTTTTTGTTGTAAAGATGAGGCCTCACCAAGTTGCCCGGGCTGGTCTCAAACCACGGGCTCAGGCAATCCATTCACCTTAGCCTCCCAAAGTGCTAGAATTACAGGTTGAGCCACCAAGCCCAGCCCAAGTAAAATATTAATTATATAATTATATTCTCTATCCCTTAACAAGTAGTTTTTAAAAATTCTTACAAATAAACTATAAAAAATCAGTTCCTCCCTAAAACAAGCACAGGCAACAAGGACAAGGCACCCCTGATGATGTTACTCCTTGTTGGAACTTTTATCAAAAACAATGAATGACTAATCACATAGATATATGATTTTAAGTAAATCATCTTCTTTTTAAAAACTTCCTTTCTGCCGGGCATGGTGGCTCACACCTGTAATCCCAGCATTTTGGGAGGGCCAGGTGAGAGGACTGCCTGAGCCCAGGGGTTCAAGACCAGCCTGGGCAACTTGGCGAGACCTCATCTCTACAATAAATCAAAAATTAGCCAGGCAAGGTGGCACGTGCCTGTTGTCCCAGCTACTTGGAAGATTGAGGCGGAAGGATCACCTGAGCCCAGCAGATGGAGTCTGCAGTGGCCATGAGCATGCCACCACACTCCAGCCTGGGTGAGAGAGTTAGAATCTGATGGAAAAAAAAAAAAAATGTTAAAAAAAATCTTCCTTTCTGATATGTGTAATGATAAATACAATAAAGCAGAATGCTACATATGGATGTTCTGTGATAACAGCTCTGTACACGTTAGGTACATAAAAGGACAGGATTGAAAAGGAATACAGAAAATGGTAAAAATAGCTTTATATCAGAAAAACATTTCCTTCCAAATTCCTACCAACCTATTAAAAAGTGCTTTAATGTGGCTGTATTGTCTTCTTAAGAACACATAATGCTTTTGAAAGCTTTGTAGCTGACAGGATTGATGGACCATGGAGTGGGAGCCAATTCTGGCTTGGACAGAACTGACATGTGGGCCTACACCGAAGGGAGAGACAGACAGTGCCATGGTGGGAGGTTCATGCAGATGCCCGGGGACTAGGCAGCCTGCCCTACTCACCTGCTCCTTGCTCATGTCCTCTGGAGCGAGCCCATCGACAATTGGGGTGCCTTTGGCCTTGCCTTTCTTCCCTTTCTTTTTGGGGGCCTTTGATGAAAGAGATAATTGGGTGAGTAGGAGAGATTCTAACGGCTCCCCCTTCTTGGCTGGCTCTGATATGCTCCAGTACTTGTTCTGGAATCGCTCTCCCTCCTGCTCACCTGAAGCACATCACAGCCCTTAGACACACACACACACACACACACACACACACACACACACACACACACACACACATCCCATTGGTACATGTGTGGAAGCACAAAGGAGATCTCTTCCTTTCCAGAACAGAATATCTTCTCCATCTAACAAGAAGGGAGGGGGAACCATTCCACTCCACTCACCCTCTGGAATATGGCAAAGATCTCTCTGGTGCAGATGCAAAATTTACTTGGGATCAAAATGGGAGAACCCCAACACCACACTGCCAAATGTGACCATGCTGGCTACAATGCTTGGGAGTCACCTGAAAAGACCTACAAGAAATCCATAAGGGCCGGGAGAAATGCCTCTATAAAAATGATCCGTTGTGACCACTGGGGGCCTCCTTTCTTCCAAATAGAAAACACTTTCAGAGAAATCTGGCCAAGAAAGCTGGGGCAGACAGCTCCCACCGTGAGTACCCTGTGATGGTTACCAGACAGAACTGCTCATGGTGTCATGCTTGGGTTTAGCAACTTTGACAAGGCTGAGAGAACTTTCTGCCCCTACTCACTTCCCTCAGGCCTCTCAAGCAGATACCAGCTTTCCAAATCCAGGAGCGACCCTGCTTAGCTTCCCAGCCCATGGTGCATCCGGCGCCTTCACCCCCTGAAGCGCCCTGGCCAGCTTTCCAAATCCTAGCCTTCTGACTTAGAAACTCCCAACTGTCTCCAGTCCATGTGTCTGTGTATATCTACATGTCTTGATAACATTTTTTTGGTCACTAATTTCGTGTGGAAGTTTTAGAGAACACTAAGAAGAAAAAAGAAGAATCACCCATAGTCCCACAGAAGTATTTTGGTGATTTTTTCCCAGTTGGTTGTTTTTGTTTTTTGTTTTGAGTTGGAGTCTCACTCTGTCTCCCAGGCTGGAGTGCAGAGGCACACTCACAGCCACCACAGCCTCGACCTGCTGGGCTCATGCAATCCGTTCGTCTCGGCCTTCCAAGTAGCTGGAACTACAGACGCATGCCACCACGCCCAGCTAATTTTTGTGATTTGTTGCAGAGACGAGGTCTCACCAAGTTGCCCAGGTTGGTCTCGAATCCCTGGGCTCAGACAATCCTCTCGCCTCCACCTCCCAAAGTGCTGGGATTACAGGCTTGAGCCACCGTGCCCAACCCCGGTTGGTTTTTAAAAAACCCATTTTAAAAGACCCATCCACTGAAATCTCAACTCTAACGTCTAGCCCTCTTCTAATCCCTCTGCTCCAAGAAGGCCTAGAGGCCTTGGAGGAAGGTTCAGCACCCTTAGCATTTGGGACAGCAAGCGGTAGGGGCGTGGTGGGCCCAGTTGCGGCCCTTTCCAGTGAGTCATCCTCCCCACCACCCACGCTGCCCACATGCCCAGAAACAGAGGGACTGGGAATTCCTGTGTCATAAAGAGAAAGACAGGGATGGTGCACTGAGCTCCCCCTTCTCAGTGGCGCCTGTGTCCCGAGGCTGTGCCCTGAGCGCTCCACGGGCGGCGGACCTGCTTGGTGACCTGGTATTCCGGGTTCTCCATCACAGAGATAGGTGGTCCTGAGGGTACCCCCTGCACCCGACGCTCCCCCAGGGATCCGTGTGCCACGAAGCCCGGGAGGTGAAACCCTAGGCCTCAAGCACCCGAGAGGCCGAGGCTTCCACTGCACGGCCCAAACCTCCTCGACCCGACTTCCCTCTTCTGCAGCCCTGGCCTCGGGGGTTGCGACCAACCGTGTGAGCACAGGGATCTGGGACCCGGAGCTCAGGCCTCCCCATCCTGGGGTCCCAGCGTCCCCGGCCTCCCCG